CATATATATATACATACATACATATATACATACATATATATATACATATATATATACATATATAAACAATTATTTATATACATATATATATATATATATATATATATATATATATATATATGATTTAATTTAATAATTTATGCATTTAGCAGACGCTACTTACAGTGCATTTTTTACCAGTATGCGTGTTCCTTGGGAATCGAACCCATGACCTTTTGCGCTGTTAATGCAATGCTCTACCCCTGAGCCACAGGAACATATAATAATATATGTTTAATATGTATACTATAAAATATTTTTTCACAAAATAACATTTTTCATATTATACTGTATATGTATATATCAGCTTTAATGCGCTTATCTAAATAACAAAAGCAGTCAAATGTCAAAAGTTTCATTTTTAATGGCAAAAAGAAGTATTGAAAATGTATCATTTAACTTACAATCTGCAAAGGAGTAGGAAAAATGTGTTACATAAACACAAGTTTATAAATAAGCATTTGTTCACAAAATCTGTAATTTTCTGTCACTGTTTGGACATATTAAAACACCCATAGATGCAGAAAACATCTGGGTCATGTTTGCATTTTCTTCTGTCGATGGCAATAATTGTCACTTTGAAATCAGGATTAGGCATAAAAGAATGTCTTCAGAATACTTCATACATGTGAAAATCATTGAACAAATGCTTGTAACCTGGCTCAAAGGAAGATAGGAATCATATCTTTGTGGCAGGTTTTGCTGGTGATTAAGGCATAATACCTGAATTTGAATCTGTTTCAAACTGAGGTGTCTCTATTTGTGTACCTGCAGACGTTTTGGGACAAAATGTGCATCTTGCCAGCAGGGGATTCCCCCGACGCAGGTGGTCCGGAAAGCTCAGGACTTCGTGTACCACCTTCACTGCTTCGCCTGCGTAATGTGCAGCAGGCAGCTGGCCACCGGTGATGAGTTCTACCTCATGGAGGACGGGAGGCTCGTGTGCAAGGAGGACTATGAAACAGCCAAACAAAATGGTGAGCTGTTGTCTTGAGATCTGTGCAAATCATGCCCTCTTGAACCATCAGTTGGTTGTTCCTGTTATGCGGTACATTTTGAGCTTTGTAACATTTAAAAAAATTAATAGGATTCTGTTATAATTTGAGAAAGATTTCTATAAAAGTGGTCAGGCGTCTGTATCAGAATCTAGATAGATAGATAGATAGATAGATAGATAGATGACATTTTAATTCATTCATTAATATTTATATTCATGAGTTATTCCGGTTGCTACTGACCCATTAGAATTGTAGTTGTTTCCTGAACTGGTGGTATATAGATGCATTGTCCCAGACTCGGCCCACATCACTGGATTTTCTGTCCCAATTGGAAATCATTCTGACAGCAAAGTTCAGGAGTGGAGATGGTGTAATTAACTTCTTCTTTTACAATCATACAGAGACACCGAGAGATCAGAGAAGGCAACAGGATGGTAGTAAGGAGACAAAATCATCATTAACTACAGTCTAGTGGGGTCTCAGTGTCTGGCATATTAAGTCCCTCGGTGATCTGACCTCTCATGGATCTGCCTCTGAAAGCCCCTCACACTGTATTTATGGAGATTTCTGTGGGCTGTTGATTGATTATATTAAGTGATGCAATGCACTTTTATGGTAGGGCCCCAATAACTCGCACTGGCATGCCATTCTCAGGAGAGATTTATTCCCTCTTCCGCCACAGTGTGACAGTTTCAGGAGAGTATCGACTGGCCATATCACAGCACTTCCACTCAAAGCATCCCACAAACTCTTCTTTACTCGTACCTCACGGTAGATGAGCTCCTGACATTTTGCCTCATGCTTGAGAAATTTGCTTCACTTCAACAGTGAATCAGTTTAGTTGAATTTAAAAAATTGTATTCACTTTTTTTGACTCACTTTACTGTTTTATTGCTTAATGGATCAGTAAAGATGCAAATGTTATAAAATATTTTATATATGAAATAGATTTTTATTTTTTTTATGTTTCTATTCATGGAAGAATCCTGAAAAACAAAATGTATCATGGTTTCCACAAAAAATTATTATGCAGCACAACTGTTTTTAACATTGATAATAATAGGAAATATTTTTGAGCACTAAATCAGCATATTAGAATGATTTCTGAAGGATCATGTGACACTGAAGACTGGAGTAATGATGCTGAAAATTCAGTTTTGCCATCACAGAAATGCATTACATTTTAAGATTCAAATAGAAAACAGTTATTTTAAATTTAAAATATTAGGTTTCTACTGTATTTTGATCAAATAAATATAGCCTTAGTGAGCATAATATATATTGTATATTGTATATATTGAATATAATATATATATATATTCCCCATCCTAATATGCAAAGGCATCTATAAATAAATGGGGCAGGGCTATTTGTTTGACCAACCAATTGCAGACAGGGGCATCAAGTATAATTCTGTTTAGCAGCACAGAAATGACACAATTTCTTCAAATTTGTGTGTTACAGATGATTCAGAGACAGGAGCAAAACGTCCACGAACCACCATCACAGCCAAACAGCTGGAGACGCTCAAAAGCGCCTACAAGAACTCACCTAAACCAGCACGACATGTGCGTGAGCAGCTCTCCTCAGAAACGGGCCTGGACATGAGAGTGGTGCAGGTGAGACAATAAGTTAAACACTAAAGTGTTTAATATGATTAAATGGCTATGGTGTCTTTACTGAGGCTTGTCTGTCCACAGGTGTGGTTTCAAAACAGGCGAGCAAAAGAGAAACGCCTGAAGAAGGACGCTGGTCGGCACCGCTGGGGTCAGTTCTACAAAAGTGTCAAACGCAGTCGAGGGTCCAGTAAGACGGAGAAGGAGAGCTCAGCCGATGATGCAGGACTCAGCGATAGTGAGCTTAGTTTCAGAGGCAAGTCTATTTACATCTCCCATGATGCCTTGCTTTCTGTCTTCTCTCTCTTCTTTGAATTCTTTTCAAAAACTTTTTTTTTTATTTCCCTTCATGCATTAACTTGCCTTTTATTTTGAAAATATGCCACTAGGTGGATTGTTTGGAATATTCAAATGAGGTTTTTGGTTCTGCTACGTGTTATTTTTTAATTTTTTATGATTATTTCATTTTTGTCAGCCCGTATTGAGAACTCATAAAAGTCTAGAGCCACTTTCAAAGAGAGGCCGTGTTTACGAGAAATGAAAGCAGCGATGCACAAACTCTATAAAATTGGTGAAGCTTTTAGTCGATTAGAGAGGACCTTTGTTGTTGTTGAAAGAAAAGAGTCTGGTTGCGCTCCTGTGAGTACGGAAAGTAAATCACAAATGCTCATTGCATCTCAGATATTTCCAGAAGCATGTAATCCCCTTTTTAAAATGGTTATTTATGAGGTCTTTGTCATAACTGCAATTCTTCTTCTTCTGTGTGTAAGAGCATCTATACACTACCATTCAAAAGCTTGGTGTCAGTAAGATTTTTTTTTTTGTTGTTGATGTTTTTGATCAAATTTGCTCAGTAAAAATGGTAATATTGTGAAATATTATTACTGTTTAAAATAACCGTTTCCTATTTTAGTGTATTTTAAAATGTAATTTATTTCTGTGACGGCAAAGCTAAGATTTTAGCAGCCATTACTCCAGTCTTCAGTGTCATATGATCCCTCAGAAATCATTCTAATATGCCTCAAGAAACATTTCTTATTATCATCAATGTTGAAAACAGTTGAGCTGCTTAATATTTCAGTGGAAACTCTTGTTTTCAGGATTCTTTGATTAATAGAAAGTTCAAAATAACAACATTTATTTGAAACAGAAATCTTTTATAACATTATAAACGTCTTTACTGTCACTTTTGGTCTATTTAATGCATCCTTGTTAAATAAAAGTATTAATTTCTATTAAAAAAAATAAAAACTTAACTCGCCCCAAACTGTTGAACAGTAATGTACACTGTAAAAAATGACAAGAAAATACTATTTCAGTCTCTTTACTTCAAAATGTCACGTTTAATTCAATGTTACTTTCCATTTCTTTGTAAATAATTGTGAAATTTACTAGCAATTTCTGAGTGAAAAATTGTTTCTACACCAAATTTTTTTTTTCAGTGTAGTTGTATTTTTTGTGGAAACAATCTTGAAACTGATTTTGTCTGCTCTCACCAACAGAAGACCAGATCCTGTCAGACCTTGGTCATGCTAACGGCTTGTATGGAAGCGTCGGAGACATCACGAACGGCAACATGCTCAACGGGAGCTTCTCCTTGGAGGGGGGCGGGCAGCCTTACCATGACCTGCGGGCAGGAAGTCCCTACGGCCTGCCACAGTCCCCCTCATCCATCACTTCCCTCCCAGGCCACACCCCGCTGCTCAACAACTTAGGCTTCAACATGGACAGCATCGTGGGTCAGGGCAGTCAGCCCAGCGTAGGTCAAGCTCTGAGAGCAATGGCCGGGGGACCCACCTCTGACCTGTCGACAGGAAGCAGCACGGGCTACCCAGACTTCCCCACCAGCCCTGCCTCGTGGCTCGATGAAATGGACCACTCCCAGTTCTGAGGTCAAAGGTCATAATGGAAAGTGGGGTACTATGGACAAGAAATTTGAAGATTTTATAAACATCTTTCCCAGAACTGGCGACGTTTGTGTGGCAAGGCCCAAAACGGCACCTACTTTAACACGGTGGCTTGACCTTGCTAAAAGGTGCGCTGATACGAGCAACCCGCCGTGGAATGTCTGCGCTGTATCATAATTTTGTAACTCATACTTTTTCATTGTTCTCAAAACTGGATTGGATGATTTCCAGCATGAAATGGTGTGCAGCTGCGAATGGCGTTCAAACCCCAGACCACCCTGGAAAAACAATCACGATCCACCACGTTTTTGAGAACAAGAGGGTCCATGCATGTTTCCGAATGAGGAAGAGAACCGTCCGCGACGCACTTTACTGTATGTTCCTCCTCGACTGCACACGGCAGGCTGAATACGGGAAAGAGAGGAGCGCATCGAACAAGGAGAGATATTTAAACAAGTGGCACAAGTGTATCTTTCCTACTTACAAGGGTTTGGGATTTTAATGGTTGAAACTTTCTAGTGGCTCTACTAGAGATGGCCCTTCACATTAGGTCTGAAGAATAGATACAAATTATTTTTAATAAGGATGAATCCGCATGCACTGCTCTGAGTTGTCATAAAAATCTCTGTGTCAATGGTCCCTGTCTGTTCAGTGTTTTTCCGTTAACTTCAGGCATTCTGGCTCAGCAATGAAACAAAATAATTAGCTTAAAATATTAAAATTAAAGTTACTATTTATTTTCTGGTACTGTTTAGTATATTTGATATTGATACGGTTTTTATTACCATCAAAATACCTTTGTTTCCCATTGCCATTTGTTTCCCTCATTTCATACTCATTGCTCCATGAGCAAAAATGGATATCATACATGTATTCGAATGTCATTTATTTCAGAGCAGATGACAACATTGGATTTCCATTACACAGATACAAGTACCTTAATGGCCTGACCAATTATTATCAAGCAAAACATGTGAAAGGGAAACTTACACTGTATTTTTTTTCTTATTTGACACATTTAAGCAACAACTAAGAGGACTGAGTGTTATTTATTCCTGTTGTGGGTACCAATGTCAGTATTATGAAGAGTTGGATCATGGGAAAGAGTACAGTGAGTTGATGTGAAACTATAAAACTGGTGATACAATTGTAAACATGAGGAAAATTTGTTGCGGCAAAATTTGGACCCACATAATGGTAAACTGAGTAAAGATGACGCTATGCTGAAAGAGTGAACATATAAGCTAACAAAGGGCAACATGGAAAAAAGAAAAATAACCATTAAGATATAATGTTTTGTTGAATCTATGTTGAGTCTTAATGGCTGTACATTTTGTAAAGTCTCAAAAAGTGTCAACAGTCTTGTTTCATGAGCACTATTTATTGCTATGGATCGTTGGGGGGGGAGAGCACTGAATTTAGTCCTATATGCCTTCTGTCCAATGGTATGAATTGTGTACAGTCAAATCTATATGGAGAAATAAAGCCGAATCGTTTTTGGGTTACTGCGATGTTCTTTTTTATTTATTTCACACGCTTTTATTAATTTTGAAAGTAAAGTTAAACACAGTTTAGTATAACACATATTAGTTGTTTTTGTAGTAAATAGGTTATTCCCATACATTACACATAGGCTATTGTATAAAAAAAAACCTAATATAGCCTATATAAGAAAATGTATAATCTCACAACGCTGGCTTTGTGTCGAGCAACCTGGTTTAAAGTCATTCAACTCAACTACTGATGTCACCATGTTTAATTATGTAATCTCAATTAAATCTGCCATTTGTTAGCAAAATATAACATTGACCAAGCGGGGTTTTAAAATGTTTACGAGGGGCTCTAGCTGAATTACTTCATTTTATTCACAATATAAGGAGTATTATAATAGGAATATTTCAAGCAATAAAATAACAGATTTTTTATTGTTTTGTAAATTGGTGGTATTGTGTACGTCAACAAATACTCAGTTCGCGGTATTAACTACAAAAACTATGTCTCTATGTGTCCATACGTTTTGGTTTTACGGGAACAAAGGAACATTTCTGCAAAGCCCGCCACACACACAAACATGTGGAACTTTCATCAGACGCACATCTGTTCGCCGGTTCCACACGCTCATCCTTCTGCTTCCATAGACTGCAGCAGATTGCTGTTTAGTCAAACCTTCCCTAATCCACTAAATGTTACCTAATTGTAAACTGCTCTGTGAAATGAGTACAAACAGGTTGCCTGACGTTCTCAATGGCCAGAAAACCCAACTGTGAGTAAAATCCCACATTCAAAAGATGTACAAGACAAGTTGGACACGTGCATTTTGACGGATATGGATTCGATTTGTATGGGAATGCGCATTCCATGTACCAAAAAAAGCTACATATAGCTATTTATGTTTGGATGTATATCATGTATGCTATATAGACTCCACCAGGTGCAATTACATTTTTGCGTCTTGTATGCGTCTCAAAATCACTTCCTAAACTATCCCATTAGTTCAAACGCACAAAGGCGGCAAAATGTGTTATCTAAAACAATAAAATTGTAGTATTAATGTGGTTAGGTTATGTTTTCAGCGTGTGCTTAGCTGGAAAACAGAGGAGACGGGGGGTTGGAAGAAAAAGATAGCAAAACAGGCGCTCTTTGCAGAGAAACACGCCACAAACAAACTGATTTCAGTCAGCCATTGATTGGGGCTGCCGCGGCCATTAATGTACGGCTTTTAATAGTTCAGTCTTACAAAGATAAACAGCGACAAAGACAGTTGGGATAATTTACACGCCACTTACAGCACTAGTATACATATAAATCTGAGCAAATTCCTGCACTGTTGCTTTTGCAAAGATGACAAACACAAGCGCAAATGCCATTATCATCGATCTGCGAGCTTTTATTACGAACTTCCTGAAGCCAGCGATTCACCAGCCTCCCGGGTGAGAAGGAATAAATTAACATGCAAATAGTTATTCAGCCTAAATTTAATCTGGGCTGCATAGACGGGGTATTTTTCTCTTGTGTATGATGGCGTTCACTGTCATCCTGTTTGGCATTTTAATTCAACAGCCATACAAAGAAAGAAAGGGTAATTTTGCAAGGACAAACGGTCACATGTTAGTATTACTGTAACTTTAGAGGTGTAGTGGGCAGTATTCTCATTTGCATTTGATGTAATAAAGAAGCTCAAGTTAATGACCTACTCAATCAGAACGACCTAGGCCTTTGATTGACTGGAACTCATGTTTATTACTCAGCTCTCTGGAATACTTGATTCTGATTGGTCAATGTACCATCCAGTGGTTTGGAATGTTATAATATTCACTGTCATCCATAGAAACATTGTCAGAACAATTACTAGAGGCGTCGCAATTCACTTATTTCATACACTACATGGCTGAGTAGCCTACATACATATAGTGTATAAGTGCATAGTGTATAGTGCGCCATTTGGGACGCAATTACTTATTGAGTGCTGAAGGGATGACGTGTTTTTGTAAGCAAAAACCTGTGAGCTTGCATTTTAGCACTTCCGGGTCCATCACCTTGAAGTCAGTGGGTTTTTGAATGGGTTTATGGTTAATACAAAAGTAAAACCATTGTTAAAGGGGTCATATGATGTTGCTAAAAAGAACATTATTTTGTGTATTTGGTGTAATAAAATGTGTTTATGCGGTTTAAGGTTAAAAAAACATTATTTTTCACATACTGTACATTATTGTTTCTCCTCTATGCCCCGCCTTTCTGAAACGGCGTCGATTTTAACAAAGCTCATTGGTCTGAAAAGCGAGGTGTGCTCAGATTGGCCAGCTATCCAGTGCGTTGTGATTGGCCGAATACCTCAAGCGTGTGACAGAAATGTTACGCCCCTTACCATGTTGTGATGCCTTGTCCTGGCAGAAGCGATGAGACAAAAACATTAAAACCGAGGCATTTGTTGCATCCAGTGGGGACATAATTACGGGGTAGGCGTGGTTGACTCTTAACTTTTATACAGAATATCTCTTTGGATTTGAGACTTTAGTCTTTGCAACTTTACAGGTCTTCTTTATGCACAAAGAGCTTGTAACACTCCGGAGAGAAAGGAAAAATTGAAATCGCATCATATGACCCCTTTAACAAGTGGCTAAATGGGACTACAGAGGTTGTCTGGGACATTGAATGTAATCACACCGAACAGGAAAATTCATCTACTCGCTAGGCTGCTTTCACAGTCTTGTTGTTTTTATGATTGCGCTCCTGCAAACTGTTCTAACTCAAACTTTCAAATGTTTTTTGGAAGTGATGGCCACGCTGAAGTCATGCGACCATGGTGTTGTTTGTTCATAGCACTACATTTAGCTTTTTACTTCTGTATCAAGGCCTCAAAATTCATAAAAGTTGTGTTCATTTGAACAAAATGTGTAAGAATCATAAACATTTGTTGGTCACAGATCTTATTTTCTGCAATAATTCAAAAACCAATGAATCCACAATCCTATTGGGTTTTTGTCGAGGTAACCAAGGTGATGTTAACTTTCGGATTGGTCTACAAAAATACGTCATCACTACAGCCTACTACAGCCTCTTTTTTTGAGATATTAGTGGGATATTCAGTGTTTTTTGCTGGCTGGTAAATCCTAAGTGAGGGTGAAGTAAAGCATTGCATTAAGAGTAGCCCAGTACATGCCATTCCATTTATAAGCTGGACAACTGGCTGAATAGAGAGAGAGAAAATGAAAGGGACAGACAGTGAGAGAAAAAGAGTGAGAGTAACAAACCTCCACCATCTGCCACTAATGGTGTTAGGGAAGCATCCAGAGAGGTGACTTGTAAAAATGCATAAACGTTAAGTAAAGAAAGCTGAGCAATATGGGACATGATTTTAGCGGAGTCCGTGTCAAAAGTGAAGAGCTCTGAGGGAAATTGAGGCACATAATGGAAACGTAATGGGCTTAGTGTCACTGTCGTGCAGACAAGCCCACGGAGGATGCCATCAGCGGCATTGACCCTCCCCCAACTCCAGTGGATTTATGGAAATTACCGGAATAAGGGACAAACAGCCTTTACAAACAAACTGATACCATAATTCCAGCCTGTTTATGGAATATCTAAAGAGACAGACAGAGGATCTTGCTCTCGAGGAGGGATGCAGCTCTACAGACCCAGACCCGGCTAATGTTTCCCATTCCTCCACTTGAGCCCAGTTTTTATTCAATACGTCATACTCTAAGATATAGTGATCCCACTGTTTTTGAACAAAGGTGTATCAGCTGTAGAACTTTGGGTAAAACAAAGTTTGAGGATTCCTATGTATTGGCTCTTTGGAAAGTGTTCAGAAACACTTGAAGTCACCCAGTGTATTTGTGGTTTTCAAGCATAAAAATTCAAAAAGCCAAAAATGAAATAATAACAGCATGAAGACATTGATCAGATGTACTTTGTGCTATTTACCCTCCAGAGACCTCCAAGTAAAACCAATGTAATTAAGAATTGTGCTACATTTACTATGAAAGGAATAGTTTACCCAAAAATAAAAATTTGCTGAAAATGTACTCAACCTCAGGCTATCCAAGATGTAGATGAGTTTGTTTCTTCATTATAACAGATTTGGAGAAATTTAGACCATTTACCAAATGGATCCTCTGCAGTGAATAGGTGCCGTCAGAATGAGAGTCCCAACAGTAATCCACACGACTTCAGTCTGTCAATTAACATCTTATGAAGCAAAAGGTTTTGAGTTTGTACCAAATTCATCATTAAGCCATTTTTATCTTCGTACTCTTGGTTTCTGCTAAAATACAAGTCTTCTATCTATAACATTGCTTTCTCCAGCAATTTTTTTTGTTGTCTGAATCAGGAGAGAAATATGCTCAGATCAAGCAATGTTTACAAGTGAAAACAGACCAAAACAGTTCTAAACCATGTGTTCTAAACAATATGTCGGTGGATTTTGATGTGAGATGACAAAAGGGGATGGACATTTCACTGGAGGAAGCCTTATTATGGATTATGGACTCTTTTTGGATTTTGTCCAGAAGCGTCAGTTTAAAGTTAAAACGTCTTGATGGATTTCTCACAAACATGCAGCTTTTCACTTCACAAGATGTTAATTGATGGACTGGAGTCATGTGGATTACTTGTGGATTTTTGTGATGTTTTTATCAGCTGTTTGGACTCTCATTCTGATGGCACCCATTTACTGTAAACTAGAGGATCCATTGGTTGAGCAAGTGATGCAATACAAAATTTCTTAAAATCTGTTCCGATGAACAAACAAACATCTATGTCTTGGCAAATTTTTATTTATGCAACTATTTCTTTAATACTATTGTGTATTTAATGTCTGGATCCTAAACGGAGAAGCAAAAAGAGGTTTTAATATCCATCAAATCAGGAACAAAATTTGTGTGCTTATCAAACTTCCATTCCTCAACGTTTCTCCCAGTTTCAAATCATTTATATCACAATCGGCACAATGATTAACATCTACCATGATCCCGAAGCATTAATGT